TAGATTAATTTGGTATAAATATCTCATTTTTGAATCTGAGGGTCGAAACCCACTTTTTCCTAGAACAGCCCCCATATGATGAAATTTTATATGTTGTAATATATTTGGAACTGCCAAATATTTGATGATAGTGATTATAATATGAAAAGTGACTATACATGATGAATTTTAATATAAAAAAAATCGGGAATAAAAAATGTGTGACTATATAGGAGTTGTGGCTATATTGGATGTGACTATATAGGAGTCTGACTGTATTTTGAAATTTGGCCGCGTGGCGCAGCAATAGGAGTCTTTAGACCGAGCCAACCATATATGAAAAATTTGTAAGTGAACTGCGACTTTGTCACGTGAATATTTATTAAATCGTGAAAATAATCGGTAAATTGCAGTCTGGATATATAGTTGCCGAAATTTCAAATAACATAGTAAAGTTACCAACTTTAAACCATTATAACTTTTTTTACTACTAAATAACTCAAAAACAACTTTTATTACATTATTTTTCATGTCTAGAAGATTGCAAAAGTAGAGTTTTGGTAAAATAGCCCGTATTTAGTAAAGTATCAGCTTTAAAGATTGGCAACATTTTGTGATGTCTTTAGATAATTAGCACTATATCCATTGCAAATTCCCTGTTTTTTTTATTAAGCAAATAGGGTCTAATATTTTCACCAATTATAATTTATATATTATAGATCAATATTATATAAAAAGCTCAATTTTGGTCAGATGACCCCAGAGGTGGTTTTTCACCAGATTTAAGGCCATGCGAGATTGTTCCAATGTCTCACCATTATATTTAGTCATGGATCTTTCATGTTCAAATATTTTTTCAAGAAATTTCTACTATTCCTGGTTATACATAGGATGGTAATTTTTTGCCAAAAACACAATACGTAATAATTATGAAATTAATTACGCATGACGAAATTATTCATTATAGGAAAAATTAATTATAGATGATGTAAAATCCATAAATTTTATATTTTATATCTAAAAATAAAATATTCTTTTTACACTTTATAAAGTATTAAATAAAAGTACTAACATAAAATTTTAAAGTTTTTCAATTTTTGTTAAACCATAAACAATATTTTGTCTTTGAAGTAAAAAAAAAAAAATCATTTTTAATGAAAGATACAATTTTATAATATTTTATTATCCTAAAATGATGTTCTTAAATATAAAAAAATACATATTGATAGGACGGAAAAGCTGTTAGGTCACAAGGAAGCAATAATATTGGCCGAACTTTCTGATAGGACGTTTAATTTTAATTTTTTTAAAAATCATTACAAAAATATGCCACTTTTGGCTAAATGAAAAACATCAAGTTAATTAATTAATATTTCAGAGCCTTGCTAATAAGTAGAGGCAGAAATATTTATTTATTATCATCACTTGTAATAATAATTTCATGCATAATAATAAATAAATAAATTCTTTGTTTCATTTATAAAACACTTTGTAATCAGAAATTAAACAGTAGGGTTTAATTATCCATTTGGTTATCAAATTTGTATAGAACTCTGAGGTTTGTTTTATTGGCTTTGGTATAAAGCCAAGGTTTTGACCAGTGTAGTGTTAACACGGGTTGTATAGAAAATTTTCAGTTTCTTTGATCTCAAATAGCATTTATCTCTGTACAAGTCACACCCATTATAATGACAATCTTGTTATAATGACATTTTTTAAAAAACCAAATTTATAAATTTTTTTTATAATAGTAATTTATAGAATTTATTCCGTTATAATGATACTCGTTATAATACTAACGACATATCAGTATAATGGAAGATCATTCTGAATTCTAGTAACACTTCCGTATAATGCTGGCGCAAATTTTCGCAGATCACTAATTGAAATTTTCCGGAACCCATACTTCATTCCTAAAAAACTACTATTTATACGAATTTATAAATTGTATTTGCAAATGTAATAAATAATAAGAAACCCAAAGTTTTAATATACAAATTTTCAAAGGGACTTTCTTATAAAATATTTTATCTTTATATGGAGGGACCACTGGATTCTTGCCTAAAATTGCTATATAAAAATTAAGATTCAAGTATAATATTTAATTAATTATTCAAGAAAAAAATATAAATAGGCGTTTGTGTTTAGTTTTATTCAAAAAAAAGAAATATAAATAGATGTTTGGTTACTTTGAAAAGTTTAAATTTTAAAATTTAATGTCGCGCGTAATCATGCTTAATCACGTGAGGAACGGTCATATTCCAAAAATTCTAAAAATTATTATTATATTAATGATCGGCAAAATTTTGCAGTTGTCTCACAGAGCACGAATTAATAACAAACACAGTCAGTTAGTTGTTGACAATTACGAACATCCAAGTAAGATTAGACAGCCTTCTTTTGGACTGACTCATGAGCCCGATAATGCAAGAGATTGCTATACTGTAAGTGTGATTTGTATATTTAGTTAGGGCATTATTAACTTTGATACACTTTGCGTTATCACTTGATTGGTATTAGTTGAGGATAGTTTGCTAGAGCAGTATTTTTAGAATTGCATCCAAGCCTTAGCCTTAATAAATGAGTGTTGAAGACATATTAATAATCATCATGATTGAAGCTTCCTTGATAGTAGTAAGTCATGGTCTATAAGTAAATCTGATTGTAATATTTTTGATAAAATGAAGAACAAGCTAATAAAATCAAGTAAAAAAAAAAAGAATAATCATAATCTTTATTATGGGAGGAAAAAATTTAATTCTAAAATTACAAAAAATACTCGAATAGTTAATCAATAAATAATTTTTAACTAGTTAATTAATCAAGGGACCAAAACAGTTCTAACAACATCATCAACTGCTTGTGCAAAATAGTCAACATTTGATGAATTTAATCCTGCCATTGAAATACGTCCATTATCAACCAAATAAATATGATATTTTTCTTTAAGCATTTTAACATGTTGTGCTATGTTTTTACATAAGAATTAATCAATTAATCATTTAATGAAATTCTTTTTAATAACATGTATTTATTCATTTGTTTTATTACCTTTGAGCCCAGTATAAGAAAACATTCCAATTTGATCTGTTATATGATTCCAAGTTCCTGGAGTATTTAGCTCAATAAGTTTTTCATAAAGACGTTTGCGCATCTCTTGTATACGATAACTCATAGTTTTAAGATTTTCTGTCCTATTTAACAAATGAAACAATTATTATCACTACTATTGTGATATTATTAATTATTAATATTATGATAATTAAATAAAGAACACCTACCACTCAGTATAAAGAGCTGGATCATTTAACACAGTGTTAACAATACGAGCTCCATGAATTGGCGGATTAGAAATTTCAGCACGTTGAAGTTTTGCAAGTTGACTTTCTACTCTTGCAGCTGCATCAGCATTCTTAAGAACAAATGTTAAACATCCAGCACGTTGCCCTAAAATCAAGTATAAAATCAAATAATTTGAATGATATTAATTTTATTAATTTAAAAAATTTATACACTCAAAAAAAAAAACAACAAATACCATATAAACCAAAATTTTTTGCAAAAGATTGACAAATTAATAATTCGAACCCGCGTTCAATAAAGTAACGAACAGCCCAAGCATCTTTATCTAAATCACCACTTGCAAAACCTTGATATGCACAATCAAAAAATGGGAAATGACCTTTAGACTATAAATGTGAAATAAGGATATAAAAAGTACTTGTGTAAGTTTCATACGTAATAATAATAATGATGATGATGATGATGGTGATGATATTTTTATCCCCCCCAAAACATTTTTGAATCAATATCAACATACTTCCATAACATCAGCAATCATTATCCATTGTTCTTGAGTAGGATCTACGCCAGTTGGATTATGAGCACATGCATGTAATAAAATAATAGATCCATCTTGTGCTGACTATTATAACAAAGTTACAAGTTAATATATAATATAAGTTATTATTTATTATAAATGTGTATATATTCATGCATGTATGTAAGTACCTTGAGGGATTGTAATAATCCATCAATATCCAATCCAATTGTTGAAGGATTATAATAAACATAATCCCCAACATCTAATCCAATTGTATTGAAAATAGGTTTATGATTTGCTGAATAATAATAATAATGACAATAGTATAGTTCATAAGAATAAATATAACAATCAATTAATAACATAAAATAATATAGAATATAATTATAATACCCCATGTAGGATTAGACACATAGATTGTAGAAGCTTTTTTATAGAATCTAGATAAGAATAATCCACCCAAGTGGTTTGCACCTGTTCCTGATATTGTCTGTACACTTACAATCTACCATAACAAAAATAAAAAATTTAAATTTTCGCGTCATAAATAATAATAAAAAATCAACAGTTAATTACTCTATTTTCTTTAATGACTGGACTGTTTTCACCAAGAATCAATCTAACAGCTGCTTCTTTAAACGGTTTAAGTCCAGTAATGGGAAGATATTCATGATTTAATGTGGAATTATTTATAATAATTTGTTCGGCCTGAAAAAAATAGATATATAAGAATTATTATTTTTTGAATTAATTTTTAATCGATTAATCGATTCCTCTCAATTCTTATGCTGTGATACCTTTTTTACAACTGGTAAAATCCAAGGTTTTCCATTGTCATCACGATATGCACCAACACCCAAGTTTACTTTTTGAGTATCAGTATCTGCGTTATATGAAGCAGTAAGATTGAAGATAACATCTGGAGGTGCAAGTGGAACCTCTTGAAAAATAGATTTTGTCGCTATAATAAAGATTTTTATTATTATTGATTTATTAGGGAAGGAAAATTTTTTTTCTTTTAATTTAAAAAAAAAAAAACAAAAACTAACATGACATTGAATTTATCAAATGTTTTTTAAGTTGTTCTATACGTTGTTGAATAAACATCTATTTATATTTAATATTTTGTGAGAAAAAAGATTATCATTCAATCAAATATATGCAGATCTAAATAATTAATGAGTCATTCATTCATTAATATTAATTTATCGTGGGAAACGAATATATGAAGCACTCTGCGACAATTGATTAATAATCATTAATTTCTACAGAGAAATTATTTACAAATCTTTGTATCGAGTCTTTTTTTTTTATTTTATGAAAATATACATTCTAAAAAAAAAAGGGAGGAAGAATCTAATTGTTGATTGCAGATTGTATATAGATGGATGATGGATGGACATAAATAAGTCATTTATTCTAATGAGGTTTTTTAGATTATTTTTTTAATACAAATGTTCATTAAAATAATCATCAAATTTTTTTAGTAATACTAATATTAATATTATTAGTATTGCATCAAGAATTTGTCGATGATGTTATTAGAGTTTCCTCATTGCCCTCATCGCTTCCACTATTACTACTACTATCATTAACTTTACTAATATCAACTTTGTCACCTTCTTTACTATCATAATCATCATCATAATCATCATCATAACCAAATCTTTCCACATAATTTACATCATTTTTCAACACTGACACTTCATCATCATTATCATTATCTTCATCTTCTTCTTCATTATCGTCCCTTTCTTTTTCATTTCTTTTATTTCCTCCTCTTTCACTACTTTCTTTATTGGCATCATTTTCACTTCTTCTTATACTTGAATGTCTTTTTGGTAAATTATCTACGCTGTGCGATAGTAAACTAAGTCTGTTGTAATTTCTTGGTTCTGATAATTGTGAAGAAGGTGTTGGTGTATTACGAAATATGATTCCACTTTCTAATGATTGAATTGTAAGTGATGATGGATTAATAAAATTACTATTATCATTTCCTCCGACTCCAATTCCTGCTCCAGCTCCAATGTCATCACCACTATCATCACCATAATTACTACTACTAACATTATCTGAAATATCATATTTAAGTAGATTTGGGCTTGCAACACAAACTACTGGGAATGCACCTTTGTTACCAGTATTTTGATTTGTTCCAACTGCCCATCCATCATCAAATATTTGGTTTACAATAATCGTATCATTAGGCATCAAATCTAATTCATCAGGAAGTCGTGAACTATAAGGAAACACCACTATGACAAGTTCACTTCCTATATCCGAGAATGGTGTTGATACACTGTTACTATCATCTTTCTGATGATGTACAGTAATTTCGATTGAAGGTGGTGATAGTGGTGTTGTTATTTGATTTTTGTTGTTATTGTCATATTGTTGTTGGTGTGGTTGTTGTTGATGTATTTGTCGTTGTGTTTGTAAATTTATTTGTTGTTGTTGCGGCGGATATTGTGGATAATTGTTGTTAATATCAATCATTGCATCATGATTTTTATTATTATTATTAAAATAATAATAATTAAATTCATTACTATTAGTTGACAGCAAAGAAGATGTGCCGCCAGTTGATGGATTTGGTGTTATACTAGAATGTGAAAATCGGCTCATCATTTCCGATCTCCCATCTCCGCTATTATAATTATTTAATATAGGTGCTTTAAAGTATGGAACAGAGAAAAACGAAGATCTTTTCTTATGATTATTATTATCATTTGATCTGCCTGATCTTCTTTTCATGCAAAATATTATTAAACATATCAATAATAATAATAAAGCAAATGAACCAATAATTATACCTATTATAACCTCTATTTTTATTTGAGATGATTTTAAGTGCGGCGGGTTTGGTTGTGAAGGTGGTGTTGTTATTTGAGGTGATTGCGAAGGTGGGTCAGGTATTGTTGATGTACTTAATAAATTAGTCTTGGGACAATTTGTATTTGTATTTTGACAACATTGATTATTATTACCAGATGTGGTTATGTTACAAAAATTACAAAATGAATTTACATCTTGTTGAAATCCTAATTTTTTTTAAATAAAAAAAATTAAGAATTAGAATTAAATAATATCTATATCTCTTTTTCTTCCCACAACAAGAAATAATAATATAATAAAATTATGATGTTTCACTTACCACAATTAAGTTGCTCATTTAGTTCTCCAGATATACAACTTGGCGAAGTGTCAGTGTAATTTCCATCGGCACACCAATCAATTAGAAGACTTAATCTTACAGATCTTGTAGAAGTATCGGATGTTGTTGGACATATAGTAGAATTTTTTGTAGATTCTATCAATGATGATAAATGGCTATTACAAGTTTTATTGCATATTAACCTCCTTTCAATTGCTTTTTCTGATGGGCACATTCTGGAAGGTACACTTTCTACTAATCTAGCACATATCATTGTAGTAGTGTACCTAACGTACATACTTTTTGAATCGAAATTTGTACAATTTAATCCTTCTATGTAATAAGATTTAACATAATCATTATTAACATAGTCTCGCAGTAATAAATCAAACTCTTGTATTGAACTGGCTCCCAACAGCCAATTATAATTTAAACCATCAGAGCCGTAATTGAACATTGCCGAGGAAATAGAATATTGTGAAAATGCTGGACATGTTGTTGATCCCTCCAGCGATAAACATGGTGGCATTTTTACGCCTTGTCCGTTTACTAATAATATACATGATGATAATAAATTTGATATTATTATTATTACAATTAAATATGCTGCTGTTGTTGTTGCTGTCAAATTTAATGGTGTTATTAGATTTTTTATTTTTTTATTAACATTATTATTATTATATGTAATTAATGACATTTTCTTAAATAAAAAAATTGATTGATTTTTATATATGCTATTTTGTTAAATATTTCTCTTTTTTTTAAATTGAAAAAAAAGCTGCGAAAATAATGAAAATAATGATGGGTGATGATGATGATGATGATGATGAATGTTAAAAAAACAATAATGTATAAATTTGTTTTTTACAAATTTTATATATAAAAAAAATTTTATGTACAAACAGAATATTTTACATTAGAAAAAAAAATTTATTTTTATATATAGTTTAATTTTAAAGTTTATTCTAAATGTTTTTATTTTTTAAGAATTAAAAAAAAAAAAATTATTAAATATTTTTGATATTTAATATTTTAATAATAACAATACTATAAAAGGTAAATAAATATTTAATGATTAATATGTTTCAATAATAATTATTAGTGATAATTGTTTGTTAGAAGAGGAAAGATTTATATTATATAGCATATACATTTATTTATATATAATACAATGTTTGCTCAACGCCACAATTGTACTATCGTGTAACGTGATTAGTGTTAGTGATTTCATATAATTGGCTTTTCTTTTTCTCTTCACACATTTGTCAGAATCTTTTCTTATTAGCTATTCTTATATATTCTACAATTCATTTTTCTATAACAAACCTTCTATTCCTATATATAATTTTTCTGCCTTTATTTATTATAGAGAATGTTTATAAAAATGTTCATTATAAATAGAGAAATTAATTATAAAAAATAAATTGGGGACAAAAGGGAAGTTCATTATAGAGAGATTTTACTTAGTGTTTATTATAGGGGGATTCATTATAGAGAGTAAACTGTACATCCTGTTTTTTAGGCACAAGATACATTTGCAATTCTGAGATGTCTTCTTTGAAGTGGACCATTATCAATGTTTTTCACCCTTTCAAAGTCTTTTGGAAATTTTCCAATGGCCCACATTCTCCTTATGCACTTAACTCATATCAAATTACTGGATTGAGAGATGGTGATGGCAAACCATTCATTCGAATCATAGATTATTTTCTTCCTCTTTGGCAAAAAAAATGAAGGCAATGAATATTGTTGACAGTTTTTGTTAAAGTATATTTACAAAGACTACAATAGTTTTTGACATGGTAAATGCTAGGGCTTGAATCATAACAACAATATTTCTAGTCAGAAAGGTGATAAATTATGTCTGGAAAACTTTCTTTTGTTATGGGAATTGCTTTTTCTTGATCATTATAATCTCTTTTAATCTTGAGGAATGCATTTTCCATCAATTTTGAGAGTTGTTGTAAGTTCTAACTTTTATTGGGGGGAAGTATCTAAAGGTTTGGGAATATAATTCCCTTTCTTGGATCATGGTATCCAGATTTGAGCTCATAAGAAGTGCTTATGGTTACTAGTTTACCAATCAAACCTTCTCCCAAACAAGCAATAATTTTTTGGCAACAGAAAGTCAAGGAGTTTTGTCATAAAATTCAGCATTAACATTGGTGTTGATTTTTCTTTATGGAAATTTTTTTTTTCTGTATTTTTTTTCTCACTATCTGATATGAATATCTATCTTTCTTAAGCATAATATTTTCCATGGAAACACCTTCCCAGAAAACTCCACAAAAGTAATAATTTTTTCATGTATCCATCAATTTAAATTGTATGCAAGACAGGTGATTATGTAATGATAAATATATGATATGTGATGACCCCATTCCATCTGTCTTTTTATTTATTACTACTATTATTATAAAAATGTTGTGTGACTAAATCTGCAAACTCTATGAATAAGTATATAAGTATATTGTGCTTGTACTAAGATTATAAATATCCACACCATGATTTACCCATCAGCTGTCTTTTTTTGTTACATGAGAACAATTAATTGCTATAAAATTTTACTCAAACCATTCATCTATATCAGATTAACTAATTGACCCTTCATATAGGCTGATTGGCCAAGTTTTCTGAAATAGTCATATCCATCTTAAATAAAATGAACAATACCTCCACAAAGAACAAGCCAAACCTTTTAGGAACAGAAAACTTTCATACAAGAAAGCAGGATGTAGATGTAGGTTAAAAGAATATATAAAGAATAGCTAAAAAGTTAAAAAAAAAAGCCTTAGTAGCACTCTCTGTTTTATTTACTCCAGTTATCTTTATATGGAAGATTAGACTCTATCACTATCACTATCACTATCACATTTACAATTATGGTATTGAGTAACTTCATAGCCACGGCACTTTGGGAGTACAAAATTCTGGACAAACAAAAATAAAATACGCTGGTAAAGAAGATTCATGACCTATACCAAATAAAATACCAAAAAAAATAGTTCTACTTGCGAATTGGTTTTCAATGTGTGAATTAGTTAATGTTAATATTGCAGAAATCGCTGACTATTTGCGGATTTGAACAAAAAAAGTCTCCCACTAATTTATTAATAAATAATAAATAAAACTTGACAAGAAAGAAACCTGATGTAAATATATTTGTATAACCCAATCATATGTACAAGTATGAAAAATCTGTGGAGAATTATTTATTGTACAAGAAGAGATGCAATTTTAATTTGGAATGCATTGTATGTGCGTTTGTAGATCAAATTATTTTAATTATTTTGATTCATTCAAACCCAAAGAATTCTAATAAAAAATATGGTATGATTGTATATAAACAATCATTTAATTTCGCCTTATTCTTATTTTAGTAAAATATCGAAGCCACATTTTTAATCTTGATTGGTTCATCAAAATATTTTTGTTTTCCTGACTAATTGTGGCTTGTTATTTTTGTTATTGCAAAGTGATCATTTGACGTCACAAAAAGTTTCTGGGTCGAACCATATTGGGAACTAGTAGTTTCTTGTCAACTATTTAGACAATATAAATAAATGACGAGTTTACATGTGCGTTACCAAATGTAATTTTTCGCATAGTTCTTGTTTACTAATACAAGTTTTAAGTCAATACAACAATTTGCTGTTATAATACTAAGCAATTAGCAGAATGCGATTATAATATTTTTAATATAACCACATACTAAGCAATTAGCAAAATGAGAAAATATATTACAAAAATAGAGTTGAATCTAATGAAGATTGTTAGTATATTAATAAATAATGATGGTAGGTTAAAAAATTTATCATGAAGAAAATAACAATGAAAACTTAAGATAATGAATGAATAAAAAATAAATGAAAATGAAAGATAAATCTTTTTTATTAATCAACCCGTAAATAAATATATAGAGGGAGTAAACATAGATGATTTTTGTTAATCCCTTTTGTTCTCGTTTAGATAGATCATTGATGTAAATGGTCTAATGACAGGTTGGATGGGGAAAAAGGAAAGGATCGATTATTATTGTTGTACGAATATAATGAATAAATTATAAATAATAAAAATAATAAATAAAAAACTTTAAACTTGCCCTTCATATTGAATTGCAACCAAGTAAACAATAAAAATCAAAGCTGATAAAAGAATCCCAGCTGGACTTGCATACCTAATTATTACATATATATAATAAATTTTTTAGTAAATAACATTTATTCGTCTATTTCCATGATTTATTTCCATAAATGTTTACCATAAAGCAGTTCCTAAAAAACTCATTGTAGAACCATAATACATTGGATGTTCAAGAACGTTGAAAGGAAATGAAGTGACTCTTTCATTCATCAATATGCCAAAATAATCACCTTTTTATCAAAATAAAATAATCATCTAATCAATAAACCATAATTAATAATAATAATAATAATAATAACAACAACAATAACGATGATGATGGTGATGGTGATAGTAATCAATTACCAAGAAATGTTCCAGTAATTCCTAACATATAAGTCGATGATATTACAAAAAGCATTCCAGAACCAAATAATATTGCTCCCGACAATTTTACTTGATAATTGTTAAGTTCTGGTAAAGTTGGTTGATGTTCAATTGCCCGATGATATCTAATAAATGTATTCATGTCATTAAGATGATTATTAGAAAAAAAAAAAAGAAAAATTAATAAACTTACAAATAATCTCTTAAAAGACCAAGCGAGAAAATAGTAGTGGCCAATCTATAACAGCCAATATAAGGATTCCCACCCGCTGCACGAGTTATAAAACGTGTTTTATATTCTATTTTATATTTTCAAAAATTTATATAATTTTAAAATTATACTTATTTATTAAAACCAACCAACATATACGATAAACAATCAATTAATACCTTTTCTTGCCATCGAGTTCCAAAAAATGGGATTAAATAAAATTGAAGCAAAAGAAATCCAAAAACTTGTTTGACTAAAATCTATCAATTCTAAAATTTTTTCTATCATCTTTTTCCAATTGAATCGATTTGAAAAGAGAGAATCAAATTTTTTTGTTAATCTCGATTAGTATAGTAGTGGTTCATACCCCCCACACGTATTGCACAGGTAATAGGAAAGATCAAAAGAAATCATAACATATAATAAATTTTATTATTATTTATAAAGAAAAATTTTTTTATGATGATAATCCTTTCCAAGTAGAGCAATTAAACACCTAAAGTATTTTATAATTGTAAATTTTGTTTATTAATAACGATGCTTTTAAAAAAAAATATTTAATTATAAATAATTATTGTGGAAAAGGTAAATTCCAAGTGGCAAAGGTGACAAAGAAAATAGTATTTTCAAAGAAAAGCTTTGAGAATGATCATTTTGCTGAAATTCTTTATGACTCAGAAGGGATCCATTACTGAATCCTTTTGATGAATTTGATATATTGGAAAAAGGGCAGAAAATCCATTCTTTCAACATAATATATTCAAGTACAAAACCCCAAGTGTTCAACCATCATTAAACACTATTGATAA